CATTCCTGTCAAACAGCGATGTCTCGTCGCGGTAGAAATAAGCACGGTTCTAGTGACTCAGCGAGTGACTTCAGCAGCAAGTGATTTCAGCTTCTCGCACCTCAGTTTGGCGATCCCACCCTCGTCGCCAGTGGTGTGTACCAAGGACCTGTGGGTAGCCAGAAGAACTGAGGTGGAGACGGGAATAAAGGCTAACAAGTTTTTATTCCCTAACAAGTACAAGCTAACATTCAGAACCGGCTTAGGAGAGGAACGCGCGGCTCGTTTGGACAGCTCCCTATTTATACAGGAGCTGTCAAACGATCAGCCAATCAGGTGTCGAGCGCTTCCCGCCTGAACTCTTTATTTAACGCATGCTCAGAACATAACAATAATACATGAACTATTTTGACATTCTCACCCATGAGTTGCTCTGTGAGCATACTGGATGAAGAATATTAAAAACAGGACTCAGGATTTCAGGTGTAATACCCAAAATGTACACATATCCGATATGATGCATTAATGATGGATGTCTCTATTCCAGCAACTTATGATTGAATTGTCTGGATCTTTATAGGGAACCTAGCAGTATAACTGGGCATGTGATTGTACCAGGTCTACTATTTTATTTTTAACAGTAATGTTACAATACAATGGTGCACTTCAAACATTTGTAATTAAATAATCCCTAATATGCCTGTTTCATATATTTTATAGAATTATGCAAGTATAAACATGCCATAATTGTCCTTGAATAAATGCTAAATTTGGGTTACTACTTAAGCCCAATGCTGAAGAAACTGCCTGGACTCTAGCAAAATAGCCTGTTACAATAGCTAATATGACCTGGAGGATTGAGAATCTCTATAGACTAATAGCCAATATGCTATTTTATTGTTTCGTTCTGACTGATCACCTCATTAAATGTGACTCCGTTTGTTGTAGGAAAAAGCCAATGTAAGCTAGAGTTAATTAAGCAAGACCCAGTCAGGCAAATTTTATCTCCACGGCTTGAATGAGAATAGGTAGGGAAAAATGTAGTATTTCTCTGCATGATGTTAATTTCAACTTTTACTGAACATCTTTCTAAAGTTCACAGTTAAAGAACTATGAGGCAGTTATCTTTGGAACCTTTATGAGCCACTGTCTTCATTTGAAGTATACCAAGTTTTTTTTAGGTCTTTTCTCTGATATAATCAATAATTTTAATTTCTTTCAAAGATCTCTAGAATCCTCCAAAAGGGAGTCGATGACATTGATATATTAAAGCCTTATTTTTCAACTGGAATTCTTAGAAAGATCTCACCAAAATCTAGTGAAATCAAGGTGATTCTAATCTCTGTACTTTGGAATGCCTTTCTTCTATACCAGTGATAGCAAACCTTTTCAACACCGAATGCTGAAAAGGTTGCATGGGAACGTCATGCGCATGTGCACTTATCAGGACATCACTCTGGAAAAGCTAAACTTCCAGGTTCTAGCGGTACGTGCACCTGACGATCAGCTGGCCAGGATGCATGCACAGGGCAGTTTTCAGTACTGCTGCGCATGCATAGGGATCATGCTTCAGAAAAGCCAAACCTCTGGGTTCTGGTGCACATGTGCACTCCATAATCAGTTGGCCGGCGCACATGCACACACTGGTTTTTGGCACTGCCGTAAACATGAACAGCTGATTGGCGCATGGGCAGGCATGCCAGAAACCCAGAAGGCAAACAGGCAAGGCCACGCATGCTGGGCTACATGGCTTCGCGTGCCGCTTTGGGCACGCATGCCATAGTTTGCTATCATGGTTCTAGACATTCAAACAGCCAATTCCCCACTGACAATGTGCAAAAATATTAGAACAAATTATTTCAACATGATTTTAACCAGGATTGAGCATTTCTAGTGACTCTCTAAGGATTTCTAGACATTGGATGACTTTGGATCTAATTTATTCCCACTTTTTTCCTTTAGGCCTTCAGGAAGTGCCCTTATCACTAGGAAAACGTTTTGGCCACAATTTTTTTTAAATGGAAGACCAGGATGATATCCCACTTGGATAGAAGAGCCATTCTTAAATTCTAGATATTTTGAACACTACTCCCATACTTCTGCATTTCAAAGATACCTAGAAGCTTCTGTCTATCTCGTTTGCGTCCATTAATTTCTGAAAATCAAGTTTTAAAATTACCTATAGTCATTATCTACCAAATATAGATATCTTCTAATGAGGCAATAAAATACAGAAAAAAATGAGTGGACATAAAATGCATTGGACCTCCCTATAGCAATTGTCTGCAAGAGGTCTATAAATATCTCAGAAAAGAGGGTGTAATTGCTATCATAGATGAACAATACAACATAAGTAAGGCCCATTCTGTTGTAGCTCTGTTTCATGCTCTGCAATTTCCTCTTTGTTATTAGTTTTTTATAGCCTCCTGGTAAAACTAAGCGTATGAAACTCCCTCAAATGTAAGAAAAATTACAGTGACTAGTTGTTGCTTCTGTCTACCTACTTTTTAGATTAGAAGCAAACCTCTCGATTGACAATTCATGTGCCAATCCTTGTTTATAGTTGTATAGTCAAACAATGTGCAACTGGGAATTCTGGTTATTTTTTACCTTGGGTTACTCCTTTGTTATTGTCTTCTTCTTTTAATAAAGATAGCTAGTCAATCATGGCAGGCTGATTTACCCTCTTTTTTCTCAGGTCATTTATCCAGTATTTTTTTTTCACAGAAGGAAATAATAGAGGCCACATAAATGTTTGCATGTATTGATGTGTGTGTGGGTGTGTGTGTGTGTGTGTGTGTGTGTGTGTGTGTGTGTGTGTATTTTAATTAAGTACCTGTTTTCAATTAAAAAAATAAAAGGTTGTATTTTAATACATGCAAACATTTGAATTTTAAGTTTAAAAATAGGCAATAATGTGTGTGAAAATGAACATTCAATAGCGTGTGAAACTCCTGTGATACTAGTATTTGGTTTCCTGCTTCTTGAAAGGCTTCTAAAATCATTTCACACTTTTTACTTTCAGAAGACAACATGCAAATGATTCTATTCTGTAAGAAACTACTTAAAGCTTGCCAACAGAATAAAGATCTATCGGGATTTTGTTATCTCATGTTCAAAAATGCAGTAAACCCTCCGTTTAAACAGACAATTCAGAAGGCAGAAAGGACATTCGTCATGAATGGTCATAATTGATGTAAACTGTCTATGCTGTAATTATTCATTATTTTGACTTGATGTCTAGAGGGAAACTTTGTCTGCTATATTTGAAGTCTGCTAAACCAAGTTATTTTTAAATCAAGAACGGAGCATGTATAGAAAATATATTGCTGTGGGAATTTTGGCATGTTGTTAAGAATTGTTAAACTGATAGTAGAAATGCAGTTGTGTGGAAGAAGCAGCATCTGGATTGATTCAATCCAGTTTATTTATATAGACTGAAGGTATGAATACACGTATGTAATTATTCTAAATAGAAAAAGAAACACACACACTGAAAATTCCGATCTATACTATCCCTAGGGAGTTTTATTAATATAGAAAATCTAGGATTACACACAAACATTAGTTTTCTTCCCATCTCTCCTCCAATTAAGGCTGCCAGTCGTGGTAACCAAAGCAGTTTTAGTGCTTTATATTGGTCTGAAATGAAAGTGAAATGGCCCTTGGTCATTGGCTTCTCTTAAGTATATCTGTACATCCAACTACAGATGTCTTGGAAAAAGTGAGAAATCAAGAGCGATTCCAATTTAGCTTCAGACCTGAATAAAAGCCATGTCCTCAAAATTCAAGGAGAGCGCTTTCTTTCCAGATAATAGGTATAACTCTTTTCTTAACTCAGAAGCCAAAGGATTTGGATCTCGGCTGAATTGCAATAAATGTGAAGGCTATTTTTCAAAATGATTGGAAAAACAATACAACTAACTGGATTTTGAAAGTACAAGAGTATTGGACTCCATTTCATTAAAGTTCAGACAATTTTATAGGGTGCCTGCCTGCTTCCAACCAGAGAAAAATATTTTAGCTGCGATGACTCAGATATTAAATCACCTCCTGGGAAGCTTTGAACAACACTTTCTGTCCAGCAAAATAATGTGCATTCTTGGAAATGTTTATTTTTATTTCAGTACCTATTTTGTCTTCCTACCTGCATAAGTATTTCTGATTCTTACTAATGCTTTCTTTTTTTTATTTGCTAGCTCTTTTGCTGGTAGGCCTCAACTTACAGCTGCAATTGAGCCTGAAATTATACAAGTTGTGGGAGTTGTTAAGCAAGTCACTATGTAACCATACTCAATTTTATGATCTTTTTACTGGTGGTCATTAAGTGAATGTGTGGCTGTTAAACAAACACATTTTTGCAACGTGCAGTTCTTTGGCCAGAAACCAGAAAATCAGAAACCAGCAAAAACTTCTGAATATTATGACCATGTAATAGTGATAGCACTTAGACTTATATACCACCCCATGGTGCTTTACAGCACTCTCTGGACAGTTTAAAATATTGCTCCCAACTATCTAGGTCCCTGATGGCGAATGTATGGCACGCGTGCCAGAGGAGGCCCGCAGTGCCCTCTTTTTGGGCATGCGCACTGTCGGCAGCTGCTCTTCTGGTTTTTGGCGCAGACTTGCGTGCTGACCAGCTGCTCTTCCCGGGTGCCAGTGCACTGGAAAACGGCCTGAAAACAGCCAAAAAACAGGCCATTTTCTGTTCCATTTTCTGGGCTGTTTTCAGGCCATTTTTGGACTAAAACGGTCCAGAAAACAGCCAGGAAAATGGAAGAAAAACAGCCTGAAAAACAGCCAAAAACAGTCATATGTGCATTGGAAACCCAAAGACCAGCTGGATTTTTGGTTTCCAGTGCTCTGGCACACACATATGCACACACCTTCCAGTTTGAGCACTTGGTGCCAAAAAGGTTCGCCATCACTGATCTAGGTTCTCCAACCTTGGAGGGATGGAAGGCTGAGTCAATCTCAAGAGTCAATCTCCAACAGAATCAAAGCCCAGACTGTGAGCCGAGTTTGCCTGCAATACTGCATTCTAACCACTGCACCACCAGGGATCCTGCAGGCTCATGTAACCATGGCATGTGGCAAATGGCAATATGGGCCATTTGCAAAGTACCACCCACTTGACTAAGGGGGAGGGCGTATTTGGACCTCCGGAACTGTATTGTAAGTACCTTGGGTGTGGGGGGGGGGGGATGTCCATCATAATTTCAAATGTCACTGACTGACTGTATTGTGTTTTCACACTACCTTTTAGTTTTGTGAGACAATTTTGATTTAAAAGATAGATTAAAAGCAAAAGTGAAGGGTATACTAGAACAATGTATAGGGTTGCTTTTTTGTTTTACTCACCTTTACTTAGAGTTGCCGGTGCTATTTTTCCAGGTACAGCTAAGTTATCATTGGCCTTGCCTAATGAAGATTTGTCTTCATTCACTGTAATCGGACTGTTTTCCTTGGATCTGTTGGTACCGCTTTCCACTCTTTCATTACAGTCTGTCAACCAGCAATCAGTGTCTGCAGAGTCACCGGAGGCAGCTGGAGGTTGATTGTCCACTTCTTCTTGAGGAGAAGAGCTGTTAATTAAGTCCAGCCACGACTGTCTCTCTGAATGCAATAGGTTGCACAGTGAGGAAGAAGAGGAGCCTGTGGATTTCATCGTACTACTTTCTGGGGAAGATAAGGACTGTGGTAGTTCATTTAAAAAATGTGATGTTGAGGAAAGCTCTTGCTGGGCCTGTTTCCCAGAACAAATAAAAATAAGTAAAAGAGAAAGGGTTGTATTATTGTTATTACCAAGAATCAATAAATTCGCTTTCATACAGCTCCTTGGGTATCTAGCAGAGGTGGGCTGTACTTTCTTTAACAAAGGGTTTGCTGGTTGTGAGCGTGCGCACGCCCCTTTGGGAGAGAAACAGAGTCCTAATCAGCTCAGGCAGCTCCAGTGAGAACAGCAGGGGGCGGGGCGGGGAATGCAGCTGGGCCAGCCAACGAGCCAGAAAGTAAGTTATAAATGGATAGTTTAGAACATGGGGGGAGGGCGGGCTGAGCCCAGCCAGAGCTCAGGCTAAGGGTTCACCTGAACCCTTGCAACCATGCAGCAGCCCATCACTGGCAACTAGATGTCTGGAACTTATGACTACTCTCATTTCATACTTCCAATATTTCTGGAGACAACTGTAGCCTAACTAACCACCCCTTGCAGTAATTCTGAGGCAGATGAAAACTACAATATTAATTCTGAGCTAGGCTTAATAATTTTAAAAATGAAGAAAAATAATACCCCGTCCCTTAAAAAATGGACAAAAATATCCAGCCTCGTATGCATGTATGGCGTGACTCTAAGCACCTTGGCCAAGAAAGACATTCATTTCCTACAATATGTTCCCTTGTTAAGTTTGGGGCCTCCTCAAGAATTGGTTGGCCACCATACTTTACACTGAACCAATATTTTTAGAGAGTATTTTCAGGTTTAGGCCCAGGGTTTCCACAGGAAGTGCTCTTCTCAAGGGCAAGGTTATTTCTTTTTATTGGTGCAGGTTATCCTCAGCTTACAACCAGTCATTTAGTGACTGCTTGAAATTAAAACAGGATTGGGAAAAAAGCAACTTATGACCATTTTCCATCACTTATGACCATTGCAGCATCCCTGTGGTCATGTGATCAAAATTCAGACGCTTGGCAACTGGTTCATATTTATAACAGTTGCGGTGTCCTGGACGTGATCCCCTCTTGTGACCTTCTGACAAGTAAAATCAATGGGGAAGCCAGATTTACTTAGCAATCGTGTTACTGACTTAACTAATTCAGTGATTCTCTTAATGACTGTGGCAAGAAAAGTCGCAAAATGGGCATCTTAACAAATGTCTCACTTAACAACAGATATGTTGGGCTCAATTGTGGTCATAAGTCAAGGACCACTTGTACATTTTTGCCATCTGTTCTGAAGGTTGGAGGTCCTCTCAGAAGAGTATAGGAAGACGGCAGGTTAAAAGATGAAAACAGGCAACAATAGCCTCTTCCTCTGCTAAGAAGGCTTTCAGAATTACAGACCTTTTTCACCTTAAAATAGAAATATGTGTTTAATTGCATTTATTTTTTTCTACCATGGACTTGCATAGTCAATGTGCATGTATGTATGTGTGCACACTTATGTATGGATGCATGTCTGTGCATGTCGGCACACATATGCACTTGTTCCTCACCACAGAATTCAACTGAGTTGGAGGCAGTTGGAAAGGATTACCTTATCTTACTAAAACAGCAGAAAACCATTAGGAGAAAATATTGTGCCTTGCATGGCCCTCTGTTCTAATACCATAATTCCTTATTTGATATTTGCAAACTTGACAAGGCTAAAACCTGCATCTCTCCATTCCCCCAGCAAAAGGCCATTAATTATATGTAAAATACCTCACTGGTGAATATTTTGAAGTCATGGTTTGGGGATAACAACTAGACTCTAGACTGTCTGAATTACGTGGAACCATTATTCAGGATAAACACTGAGGCAGCTCAAATCATTTTAATCCTCAATACATTACATTTATTTTTAAAAAGGAACCATAGAGGTTTCAAACAACATTTCTGTCTCACTGGAACTAGAATAATCAGGTACATAGTCCAGAAGATGTTATTTTGAAAGGTTTGTTCTCTAAATCAAGAATGAGAAGTTTGTCTGACTGTGGTTCTTTGGTAAGTTCTTACTAATGCTGGCTAAAATATTCTTTCCACAGAGCCTCTTTGTTCTATTACATATCCCGGGTATTTCTCAACTTCAGCAATTTTAACATACAGAGACCTCAACTCCAAGAATTTCCCAGTCAACACACTTGCTGGGGAATTCTGGGGCTTGAGGTCCAAACAACTTAAAATTGTTGAGGTTGAGAAACTCATTGTAGATGCTGATTGGCTTCCAGAAGAAGCACAACCCAAATATCTTATTGTATTCCCTCGAGAGCTGGAGAATAGTAGCTAAGACACTGAGCTTGTCGATCAGAAATGTTGGCAGTTCGGCGGTTTGAATCCCTAGTGCTATGTAACTGAGTAAGCTCTTGTTACTTGTCCCAGCTTCAGCCAACCTAGCTGTTCAAAAGCAAAAATGCAAGTAGAAAAATAGGGACCACTTTGGTGGGAAGGTAACAGCTTTCTGTGCACCTTTGGCACCTAGTCATGCCAGCCACATGACCACAGAAACATCTTCAGACAGCGCTGGCTCTTTGGTTTTGAAATGGAGATGAGCACCGCCCCCTAGAGTTGGGAATGATTAGCACATATGTGCGAGGGGAACCTTTACTTTTAAACTGCTTAGAGATGACTGTAAAG